GAGTACAGACCCAAAGATATTACTGACCTTATACACTTCATCCTCACACACAACAATTTCACTTTTAATAACCAACACTTCCTCCAGATGATGGGAACAGCTATGGGCACTAACATGGCCCCACAATATGCCAACCTTTATATAAGCCACCTGGAAGAATTCCTCAAGGACTGCACCATCAAACCCTTGCTGTGCTTAAGATCAAATGATGAAGATGTCATCAATATGACTGAAAGCCTGCAATTTCTGATTGAATTCCACCAGAAATTCAACAATCATCATCCCTTCATCCAATTATCTCTTGAATACTCCAGCACCAACATCTCCTTTGTAGCCATGATGATCAGTATCCAAAATGGTAAAATACAGACCACATTATACAAGAAACCCGCAAATCAACATACATATTTGCACAGAACCAGCAATCACCCTAAACACACCAACAAAGCTGTAATATACAGCCAAGCCCTCAGATACCATCAGATTTGCACTGAGAATACCTGAGATTGCCACCTCACCAATCTTAAAAGGGCTTTCACCCAACAAGGACACTCCTCCAGAGAGACAGACTGCACGTTTGAAAGAGCCACCTGGATACCACATGAAGAGCTGCTGCAATACAGAAGAGAAACCTGCACAAATCACACACAGCTAGTTATCACCCCTCCCTTGAACCCATATGGAAAATCCTCTATCAACTGCAACCCATACTAGAAGGAGACCCAATTCTTAAAGAGATCTTGTCAGAACCACCCATCCTAGCCTTCAAACAAGCACCAAATCTCACTAACCTCATCACCAGAAGTAAACTTCCTGCGTCCCAGAACACACCAAATGGATCCAGACCATGCCATGACAAGAAATGCAACCTGCCAACACATCTCCACCACCCCCACAATCACTACACCCCACAACAGAGCCATCGGCATTCCCGGATCTTACAGCTGCACCTCCAGAAATGTAATCTATCTCATCCAATGCACCAAATGCCCTGATGGAATATATGTAAGAGAGACCAAACAACAACTGCGCACCAGAATGAACACACACCGAAAATCTATCAAAGACAAGAATACCCAATTACCTGTAGGGGGACATTTCTTACAAGAAAACCACTCCCTCTCCAATCTCTCATTTCTAATCCTCAAAGGAAACTTACAACACACTTCTCATAGACAAGCCTATGAACTTCACTTCATCAATCTCCTGCATACAAAAAAATCATGGACTTGGCATAGACATTGGATTTATGACACATTATAACCTGCCTGACATCTGACTCCCCAGGTACCTCTCCACTACTTACCTGCTACATTCATCCCCCCATGCCCTGCTACTGTAAGGTTGTTAAAACACACTGAAGAGATCCCAGGAAGAGGGCCATGCACCCCACTACAGAGGAAGGCAAAACCCCTCAAAGTCCGTATCAATCTAACCATGGATAAAATCCCTTCTGACCCCATATATGGCAATCAGTCTGACCCTGAGCAGAGGGGCAAGACCCTCTAACCAGATATCTCCAGAGCAGCCCAAGCCCTTTCCAAGAAGCAAAATGGGCACAAGGAAATAAATATAAATCTCTGGGTTGGGGTCTTCATTAGGATATCAAGATAAGACAAACGACGTCAATGCATTTTTTATTAGGAATTTTAATTATTTTGACGTAACGCACACTAGTTTAAAGTTGAGAGATACATTTAAAGTTGAGAGATAAGTGTATAAAACCAAAGACATTGGTTAGGAAGTGAATAGGACCAAGCTCTTCCAATAACTTACTTTGCTACTAAAAAATACTGGAAAACATCCACCCTCTTCCTCAGAAAACTACAGCTTGGCAGTAGTCATTTCTGACCTCAACAACGTGTTCTCTTTTGTTTACCTCAGACAAAATCATACAAATGATGTAGTAGTTTCTGACACATTAATTTTGACAACTGCTTAGCAACTAAAGAGTCATAGATATAGCTCTCTTCCAAAAACTCAGTTGTTATTACTATGACTTCTCATAAACCATCACCCTCACAGCAAGGGTCTAGGAATAGTTGATAGGAAGGAACCTGCAGCCCACAGGTGATCCATGAACCATGGGAACAAATTCTCTCAGCAGGCACTTCCAGTTCTTTTAGGTGTATCCACAATGTTAACACAAAGCATATTAATTATTAAGCTCAGCCCTATTTAAAAGCAAACCTTGCGCCCATCTATGTCTTTCAGTCTTTACCATTACTACCAAATGCAGGCACAGTTACCTTCATCCTCAGTGGGACTCAGGGAGAATGCCTTCTCCATTTTCAGCAGTTCAGGCATTGCCTTTGCAGAAAGTGAATATACAAAATAAAGGAGACTTTTTTGAGTGTCTGTGGATTTAGTTCTGGTAAAAGATGCTAGATTGAAGATCCTAAGGGACTCAAAAAATACTGTTCACACAATAGACAGAGAAGTGGAGTTTTAGATTTAGCACTAGAAGCAGAGCATGGTGTGGAGTGGCACTGCTGTTTTGGGGCACTTGTACATGTGACAGAGGTTTAGTCCTTAGGGTTGCATTCTATACCCCACTAAATTGAAACCCACTACATCCCAATGTAGTTTAGTTTGCAATGATGCAAACTGATTTAAAACTCCCAAAACTCCTGGATATATACAGCGTGACACCATTAAGCCAACAAAGTGACATTTTTGTCATGTGTACATGGTAATGGTGTCACATGTACAAGCACTCTTAAAGTTCAATTGCCTTCTCTTTGGAGATCAAAGACCTGTTCATGGCTGTGCAGAAATGATGTTAGGGGCTTTGCCTTCTGCTTTTATTAGCCATTTTTTTTTTTTTTTTTTTTACAGGCTGAATCAATAAACCAAAGAGGGACTCCAAAAAGTACTTAAGGACACATGGGCACCTAGCCATCAATCACCAAAGGAGCTTGAGTGCAATGATGAAGTCTTACGAGGTTCCTCTTTCCTAAGAGACATGCTATGCTTGTTCTTCACTGTAGATGCATTCTGGTTGCTATTCTATGGCAGAATATGATTCTCAGCATTTTATGAAGAAGGCCATTCAGATGCTACAGCTTCTGAGGTTTAAGCTTTCCTTTTAACAGTGTGTTGTGGTTGAAGCAGTTGTATTTAACACTTCAGAAGCAATGAAGAAAAACTTGTTTCTATTGTGGTTAAACCAATGGAACTTCATGAATGAAGAAGAATTCAAATTCCATCTAGAGCCAAAAAAACTTTACTTGCCATAACTCTCCAGGCCAAATATCAAGTCTAAAACTACACCATGGATGCTGACAGATGTGAGGGGGGAAAAAACAAAATAAAACAAAACCGCCTTGTACTAGAAACAGCATTGTGTTACTTCAACCCAGCTCTGTGGTGCCTGTATAGATTGGGCACTTCAGTGGGGTTTTTTGGTACTTTTTGTTGTGTGTGGATTTTGCAATATAGAAGTAAGGCCATTTCTTTTACCTTTAACCTCAATACATAGAAGCAGACACAGCACATACTAGACGGGTGAAAG